ACTCATTTTTTGAATCTTCACGTGTTGGTTTCAACCTTCCAAGTGTTGGAGGTTCATGATCATCCATTTGGGTTTCAAAGAGAGTAAAGAAGTGGTTTAAATTTTTATGTAGGTGGTCTCCATCTCTAGTCTTCTAGAATAGTGATCCACCTTAAATTTAACTATTTTTATGCACATTTTATGCTCAATTTTTTAGGATATTATGCTTTACTTAAAGGTATTTTTATGTTGTTGGTTGCAGGTTCAAGGAAAATAGTTTAAGAGTAAGAAAGAGCAAAAATACATCAAAAAGGAGCAAAATGGGCTAAGCTAAAGAAAATTACTAAATCAGTCAAACTGGCGCTTAGGCGCCAAGATCAGGCGCCTAAGCCCTAGATGCAGAATTTGATCGGTGCCTAGGCACGACAGTTTGGTTGGGCGCCTAGGTGTCACAGTTATTTTCTAGAAAATTCATTGAATGAGGTCGAATTTTGAAGAGATGCCTGAACCAACCCTTGGTCATTTTTGAAGCTCTATAAACAGGAATTAATTCCAAGAGGCTAGGGGGTCGGATATATAAAGTCATGTAGTGTGTGAGTTTGTTAAGAGTGTGGGAAGTTTTCCTTGTGAGTCTTATTTATTTTTGAAGTTTGTGAGTCATGTAAGTGTCGTTCGTGTCAGAGAAGTCAAAGAACTTCAAAGGAGTACTTGGGGAAACATTCCAGATAAGTATTTGTATATTTGTCGGTAAGTCTCGTTATTTTAGATTAGTGTTTTATAAATATATTTTGTTTAGTTATCCCCATGCATTTTGAGTAATTTTCTCTATTTCTCCATGCAATATGAAGTAATCAAGTAAGTGCTTTTGATTTTATTTAGAACTTCTTGTAATTCCTAAAAATTGTGATGATATTTTTACAGTTCTTCATTTACTTTTCAAATTGGTCACTTGTATTGTTAAAATTTTATTGAGGAAACTTATAGACCAGAGAGGGCAGTATTGTTAAAATTTGTTGAGGAAACTTATAGACCAGAGAGGGCTAAGATTTCTTGACTTTAAAATATCACATTTCATTTTGGAAAGAGCAATGGTGATCGTCGAGGGGGAGTGCAAATAGATAGGGAGGTAAGATTTGATGAGCATAGACTTGATGTTTTTTTTTTCATTATGGTCTAGAGATTGGAACTATGGGTCACTGGTAAGTCCTATAGAGAGGGCATAATGGATAATCTAAGAGTGAGAGACTAGAATCTACCCAGCACTACTATACATGTCAACACCAACTTTAGATTAGTTAATGTCTTTACACATCAAAAGAAGTAAATAATAGATAAGCTCTATTTGTCACAATACCATATTTAAGTTTCTAAACATTTGAAATCCTACACTGATTATGAATTATTTTCTTGGAGAAAGTCTCTTTTTATATATTTTCTAAATCATTACATTTACTTTTTAATTGCATTTTGTAGAAATTAGTAAACTTAATTTCATCATTACTACTCTAGATATTTGCCGTAGTCTTCAGTAGAGTATAATTCCTGAATTTCATTTCTTTTTGTTTTCATTTCCCTGTGGGATCGATACTGAGGTTTTTATAGAAAATCTTATATTACATGAAATGATACGTATACTTGCGTAGTACCACTAGTGAGACAACTATTTCTTTAAAATTTTATCATATAACATTTGTTCTCACTAACCGCTAAATATTGTTTGGGTCAAGTTTTTGACATATTAAGGAGCATAAATAACTTCGTAATTACGGGTCGGGTCATATAGTCAAAAGTAAAGTTCTATGGATAAATCCTTAGCACCAAGAGGAAGAAAATGACCTCACCAAAATTGACGTCAACAAATAGACATCCAATAGGTATGACGTGTTAACCAAGTGCACCGCGTGTAATGGCATTGACCGAAGAGATCAACAAAACCAGCACAGACGTTCTAAGCCAACACACTCAGAACAAAACCAAACAAAAAAGTTTATGGGACAATTTATCTCTCTCCCTCTCTTTGAGTCCTCACATGTCGCTCTCTTTCTCTCTCTCTCTCTCTCTCTTATATGTTATATTTCTTGGGTGTGCTTTATGGGACAATCTTAGATTTAACATTATAATAACCTATAAATTCATTTAGTGCTTTATTTACAGCAAACCAAACAAAAAAGTTTTATAGTACAAGTACTTGATTTACAGTACACAACTTTTATAGAAAACAAAACAACCATTAAGCTTATTTACTTTTCATCACAATCAAAGTTACGTTATGAATTACTAAAAGAAAATTTATTACATGTGCCGGACCATATGATTGTCCATCTAGACTATAATCTGGACATGCGGTAGCGACACATAATAATTTTCTTGCTAGACAATTATTTCTCAGCCCAACCTTGCCTAATTGTAACCAAAATCAATTTAAGCCACAACATGTTGCTTCCATGGAACTATCAATATAATATAAATCCTTAATCTTTATAATCTCAGCTAATAATTAGTAAGGGTCGATATGAAAGAAAATGCCATAAAATAATAACAATGATTATAACAGCAATAATATTATAAATATTAATTATATTTTTCTTAAAATATATTTTTGTCATATCCAAAAAAATATTTGCCAATGAATGGAATATATCATTGATGATCAATCAAACAATGTGATCCGTCAATCAAAGGAAGTGAAGTCCAAGTCGACTAAAAAAGACGAGCAATCTTTAGCCTAACCACATTAGTACGTTCAATAGCACCTACAATGGAAGGATAATTTGACTCCAACAATAAATGAATCGAATGTTCGTGCAAAAGATAAGAATGATGACCTCCAGCGAGGGACAATTTTTTTCAAGTGATATTCTAGGGCAGTCAAAATCTGACACAACTCATCAACTTGACCAAAACTCGATAGAAAGAAAAAGAGTTATGGTTGATCCAAATAATTTTCTAGTGGTCCAAAATTGACTTGAAATCAACCTAATAACCCAAAATTGACTTGATATTGACCTGCCAACTCGAAATTGACTTGAATTGAATTTAACTTTATCTGCGTTTGACCTAAAATCGACCTGAATTTGTCCTTAAATTGACTAATGTAGTCGTTATGTTTTATTTTAAACGGCTTATTTGGGTCAAGCAAGTTTGGACCGGGTTAATTTTAGGTCAGTGCCAAACTCGAACTACGAACCCAATTTAATACTCAAAAGATATTCATATTCTTTTTTTCAAAACTACGCAAACCAAAGGGTTAAGTTAAAAAAAATGTGTGATGAACTCCCAATAAGTAATATTTTTCCTATAATATTTGTGTGCTTTCTACCAACCTATTGATTCTAAGCAATTATTTTATTTTTAGCATTAGAATAATTTAAAGGGACATTTATATGGATACCACCCAATTCTACGTATTTATATATCTAACACCTATACCTTGCTTTTTAATATATATTTCACCCGAGTCTTTCACATCACATCCAAAATACTATTATTTACACCTTTCATGCATTGGTAATGTGATATATATTTTAAAATTAAAGTTTATGTGTTAGATATGTGAATACATAGGAATTGAGTGGTATTCATGCAAATCTTCCAAATATAAAAGTATTTCACCTATAGAAGTGCCAACTCATGTCTTATAATTGGTCAAAGTCTAGCTTTAAAAACTTAGTGCATCTTTGATAATTTGTTATGATTGTTATGGGTGGTGGGTAAGGATGCTGCTATTAAATTGATTACTTTTAGGACAAGGATAGCGAATTTATTTGTATTTTTATGGGATAATTTGCAAACGATTCTCTTCAATAATTCCTTTATATATATATGTAAAAGTCACGTCAATCCTGCCAACATTTCAAAAACAATTTGATATAATATTTTAGAACTTGTGGGAATTTATAGGGTTTGTAATTTTTTATATGATCATTTACGTACATACCACTTCCTATGTTTTTATATATTTACATTTAAAATTTATCTTTTACAAATATGACAATAATGGTATTTTTTAAGTGATGTGAATGTTTGGTGTGGTATAAATGCAAAACTTAAAGCTTTGTTGTGTGATATATAAATTCACAGGAAGTAAGTGGTTGTATCTGCGAAAACTAATATTCAGTCTCAAAGATAATTTTTAAAATTTGTATATTTGCACGCGCAACAACTAAATCACTTAAAAATCAATTAAAATTACAAATATAGATTATATTGCATTATTAAAAATGTGGATGATCCTGCTAGCTCAAAATTTACACAACTAAAATATTTACACACAAGTTATGGTTCTATAAATATAAAATATAAAACAATCCTTATGAATTTACATATCTAACATATATGGACCCTTTAGGATTTATCTTTTTATCTTTATTTTATTTTTATTCTGTTTTGTTTTTTTTATTTGAATTAAAATATATTTGCCCTATTTGACTAAGATATGATTATTTTTTAAAGTACACGAAAATCTTAAAATTTATCTTTAAAAACAAAAAATTGACATATGTAAAATATATATTTTACAATAATAAAAAATATTTTAAAAAATAAAAATAAAATTTAAAAAAAAATTGATCACAAACAAACACTAAACTTTCCATTTCTATGCATAATACTTAATTTTTTTTTAATTTCACATGAAATATATTTTTATTTTCTACTTTTTGAAAGGGAAATACACATTTTCATCATGTTTAGGAAACCCAAATGTTATAAATGCAAATATGAAATTTATTTGTTAAACATCTAAATACATAAGAATTTTGATGTACATATAAATTTCCCATGTAAAAATTATCTATTAAGGTCATATTATCAGCTTCAAATTGAATTCTTACCTTGAACTAAACCTTACCTAAATCTTAGAAACAAATTCTAAAAGTAGTTAGATAAGTCCCCCCAACATCCATAAAATTACAAAACCAATTCAATTATACACTATTTTGCAAAACCACAAATCACAAATTAAATTTCAAAGCTAAATAAGTTTATCATTCACAGTTCCAAATTTTCATAAAAAAAAAAAAAAAAAAAAAAAAAACTAAATACTTAAATCCCTGCAACGCAGCCAATGAACCTCATGCTACCAAACCTGCGTACTTCAGTAGGAGATGAGGGCTTAATTGTAAATTCCTCCATCGAACTATGCTTCCTGTGGCGACCAAAGGCCGCTTCTTCTTCGATATCTCTGAACTCCTCTATTTGAGAAACGAAGGTGTAGCGATGAACGCCATCTTCCGGTTTAGCCGTTGGTGCGCCGGAGGAGAGATGCGTATAGTACCTCTGGGCCTTCTTCCTCTTGAAAGCTCTGAAGACATATGGAATTAGACCTTCCATTCTTGCAGAGGATGAGAGAGAGTGGATGAAGAAGGTTTAGAGCGAGAGTCATGGGGGCATTTACATACATAAAACTCCTTCTATGTATTTACATATCTAGTACCTAAACTTCTTTTTTTCATCTATACCGCGTTAATCTCTCATATTACATGAAAAATGTTTATTTTAACTCTTAAAATGTTAATACATTTTTTTCATGCATATAAAGTGGTGTATATGTAAAAATTTTAATTTTGGTGTTAGATGTGTAAATACATAGGATTAAGTGGTATGCATGTAAAACTTCCTTTTATTGCATTATCTTTTTCAATTTTTAATGTGTAGATATTAGATAGTGGTGAGCGTGAAGAGTAGTGGGAAGACATGGTATTTTGATAAAGAGTAAGGGTACTTAATTTTGGCTACGATGAGCACTGGTGCCCTTTTTATGAAGCTTTTAATTGTTCAAGGTATAAAAAATAAAACAATAAATAAATAAAGTTTTAAGCCAAAATTAAATAAAGTCTGGATGATCTTTTTCTTAAAACTAATTTAACGGAATTAAACTTAGTATCGTCATCCCTTAAACAAATATATTATTATAGAAAGAATGAAGGTTGATTGTTACTGATATCATCAATGATTTGCCTCTTTGATTGTTACCATCGTATATCTCTTTATGTATGACAAAAATATATCTGACTAAATATTTTAGATGGACGATCTAGCTTGGATGATTGATCGAGTCTAGATGACCGGCTCAAGTTGAACAATCCAGCCATGATGACCAAGCCTAAACGACCCAGCCCGGATGACCGCCCACTCTAGACAACATACCGAACCTAAACGACCCAATATGGATGACCGACCCAGAAAAAAAGACGACAAACCCGCCTGGATGACTGACCCAACATGGATGACTAATCTAGTTATACCAGCCGAGTCAATCTTTTCAATCTGAAGCAAATTAAGCTTAGTCAGTCGAGCCAGAAAATAGCTAACAATATGCTCATAAATGTAAAATATCATAAAAACCTCAGTATGTACCATTTTAAAACAGGGACAAAAATGTAATATCATCATTATGTATCCTCTCATCTATAAATAAGAGAATTTATTTATGAAACAAACACAATTGATAACTATTCATCACTGTTGATTTCCTTCCTTTCCCTCTCTCAGTCAATGAAAGGAATAGACGAGGAGAGTTCGGGATGAGTTGGCTCAAATTGAGTTGGGTGTGAATCAAATATTGACTCATATAACAAATAAAATTGATTCATGTCAAGGAAATTTGAGTTGGAACAATTTTCGATGAGGCCAAAATTCGGCTCATTATTGTCAATTAATACACGAACTCGTAGTTTGCATATTAGTTACTGGTCTACATTTATGGTTTCCTCCCCCATCTATTCGTTTCAACCAGGGTATAAGCTTTTTTGGCTCTTGCCTATAACAAGTGACCACAACCGTCTGTCGACTTCTCTTTAGCCCTTTTTTAACATTTTTATCCCCTTAAACTTTTTAAACTGTTACTAAATAAAAACAAATAATAATAAATTATAACTTATTTTTTTATTATTTAAGTGCAGAATGGACAATATTTTTATTTAATATTAAATTCACGAACAGCTCGTTTTCGGCTCGTTAAGAAGCTCGTGTTCGGTTCATTAGCTAAGTTAACGAGCTGAATGCGAACGAAGATTAGTTCTTTCGTGTTCGGCTCATTTTGGCTCGAAATATTATTCATCAATTAGATGTTTTATATATATATATATATATATATTGATGAGTAGTATTTTTTAAAAAAATTAATTGATTACAAGACTACAAAGATTTATAATCAACTAAAAGTATTAATTAAGAAAATAGAATAAAAATTATCAAATTAGATTCAAATGATATTTTAATATAAACAATCATTTTTAAATATTGGCTCAATCCTTAACATCTTATGTCTACATGATTATAGTTGTCAAAATGATTTTTTGTTCGTGAACAGCTAGTGTTCGGCTCGCTAAGCAAACTAGCCGAGAACGAACACACTTTTGACATCGAAATATAAACGAGCCGAACACGAGCCCTACTTGAAGATAATGTGCTCTTATTAAGTTCTTAGGTTTGCGAAATATTGATAAGATATTTTCTGATCTCCTTATCATACCTTGTCCATGTGTTGCATAACTCTTTTTGTGTTATTACAAACTTTTCACAATTTTAATATTACGAAGATTTATATAGAAACCACTTATGTCCTACATATTTATATTAAGTGGTATGCAAGTAAATGCCGGTTAATATTATTTAGTTTATATATTTATTGCACGCGGTTCCTTCATTAAGAAAAGATCCAATAAAATCATTCCACTTGGATTGTGATTGAATAGTTAGTGGCTGCTTCTTATTTTTTTCCATATAAAATAACGATCTATAGTTGTCAAGAAAGGTTGATGCCTAAAGTGACGACTTTTAGGGTGAAATGGCCGCTCCACTCCAAGGTTTTATATTGTAATTTTTAATTATAATAGTAAAATCATTGATTCATATCAATATTATTAAAATTATTAAATTCGAGTTATGCATGCTATACATCAAAAATAGTCTTTGAACAACACAAAAGCTTGACATATATGAGCCCTTTGGGCCTAGTGGATGGAGCCTATTTCACGACGCATTTGGAGCACTGATCTTGATCCGACCGACCGTACACACTAGTCATACTGATGGAGGTGACAACTATCAAACTTACCTCAGAATAACTTCACGATCTCTCTGCAGTGCCTATCAGTGTATACACAAGCTCCTTCGACTAAAATCATCAGTACTTTTTATTCATGCGAGCTTCTCCGACCATGTTTGCCCATGTTTCTCGATCTCCTCTATCGAGCTTGCCCACACTCAAAGAGCTCTATGACCGAGCTTGTTTACGTCCATCAATCTACTTCATCAAGTTCGTTGAACAATCCTTCATGACAAAAGGAAGGGAACTTTGTTCCATAATCGTCCATGCCTACTGATTGATCGCATGATGTCCAAGCCTAACATCTTATCAACAACAAATATTAATAGGAACAGTACAACACAACCTACAATATTTCAATTATTTGTAGCCCCAAGAGGGAATCACATTCTAGGAGATATAAATAGGAGAGAGAGGGGAAGAAAGAGAGGGGGGATCTCTCTCTTCTCTTCTTCCTGACCGTCATCAATAACAATAGACATTCTGAAATCCTCAACTCCCTTCTAACTCATTCACAAGGTATTTCTGAGATTGTGTGAACTCGCAGACAATATGATACCCTTCATCCAAAAAGGATTCAACACCCTAAAGGATGCAGTGAGCATGAAATTCGTACTCTGATCTAACAAGAAAATTTTTGAGACAAGGGAGAATGAAGATCAACCTTGGATTGCACCGATTTCATGTTACAATAACTGAATGAATTAAGAGAAAAAATGCAAAAGATGAGTGAATAATTAGTGCAAGAGGTAACAATAACTTGTTTTCGAGAATGTTCGAGAATTCATAGAAGTTCATTAGAGTCAATAACAAGAAGACGAGAACCAAAAGGATAATAACCTCCAAAGAAGAAATTACTGTTAACCAGGGTAAGAAGAGCCTTGGCTCTGAGACTAGAAGAGGAAGAAGACAGAGATGATAAAATATACTTCCCCAGGAGAATACATCCCAGACTTTTGAAGATGAAGAGAGAAGGAAGTGAAAAAGAAGAAGGCCACTAGAGATTGATTACTTAAGGGAGACTGTTAAAAAAGAGTCACTTGGGAAGTTCAAGTTCCATTCCTTGAACTTCTATAAGGGAAGGAAAGATCCCACCGATCACATAGCTTCCTTTGAATTGACAATATGTTTGTTGCAGATAAATGATGCCCTTAATTGTTGTTAGTTCTTTATGACACTCAAAGAGTCAGCTTTGCGATGGTTCAAAAATTTGCCAGTATGATTCATTACATCCTTTGTTGAGTTCAAGAAAATGTTGCATGTTTTTGGTTTCAGGCAAAATAGATGAAATTTTAGAGAAAAAAGAGCGAAATTAGAGCCAAAACAGGGTCAATTGGAGCAAGGTTGCTGATTGGTGCGGGGCGATTTAGTATGATAATTTTGCAAATATTTTTCAATATTACAAAGTCACACATGGAAGATATATAATAAATATGTAATATCATCCCAACAAAAATACTCTTTGTGTAAATAATGTATCTTTTAAAACTCTTTTTAAACTGTCAAATCCCATTTAATATCAATGCAAGTATACTTATCGCTTAAGTAATAAAGGTCTCTAATAGAGTCCTAGATATCAATCCCCCAAGGAAGTTGGAAACTCCTAAAGTAAATTATGAAAATTATTTTTTAACAAAAATAAAAATAAAAATAAAAGTTAAGTACTAAGTTTGAAAATTAACTACTCAAGTGAAAGCTAATTAAAATGCACATGTAAGACTACAAAAGTTAAACTAAACTAAATACTAAACTTTCAAAAATAAAATTATGAAAATTAAAAAAAGTTTTTGTTGTGACAGAAAGTTCAAATTTAAGAAAGCATCATTCCCCTTTACAATGAGTATATGGATTGTGAAGAAATTAAAATAATTTAAAATTATATATAAATACTTTTTTGTACAAAATATGAGGAATCCTATTCTTTATCTTTTGAGTGTTACAAAGAACATTGATTAATCCAATGTTTAGTCCCTAATTCTGTGGTTAGGCTGGATGATCCGGTCCCCAATCTCATGGATGACATACTCTCCCATGAAATCAAATGTGATTCTTCTTATGTTGTAGAAATCATATCTCATTTAAGAACATATGTCTCTCAACAAGTTTTAACATTTCAATTGGCCAAATCGAAAAGTAAATAAAGATCGGAGTTCAAATCATCATAAATTATTATCATTTAAAACCGTGGAAAACAAAATCTATTCTTCACAAAACCATATCTTAAAGTAGGGAGAAAAATAAAGAAGAATACTCAAAATTTATGAGAAGGATACGATAAAACACGAATTTCATATATAAAAACAAGTTTACAAATCAAAAGAAATTAAAATAC